GCTTTATCTTCTCAACTCAGATAATAATTTTCACTGTGAATTTTTAATAAGGTGCTAGGATGGTACATCATGATAACCTCCATGAGGTCAGGGATTTTCTGGTCTGTTTGTTCACTAATACAACTTCAGTGTCTAGAACAGTTTCTGGCACATAGTAGGTTCTTGGTGAGTATTTGTTAGAATAAAGGATACTGTACCTGTCGGCAGACTGCAGAAATGAATCTGCCTAGTCATTACTATTATTAACAGCCGCCACTTTCCCCATAAACTATGAAAAGTGTTCCATAAACTATGAAAAGTGTTCCACAGCTCGTCTCTAATTTCCTCCACAAAATCACGAGGCAGGTCTGATTATTCTATTTCATAGGTGAGCAAGCTAAGCAATCTGAGACCCAGCGAGGTTAACAACTAGCCTTAGGCCACGTAACTGCTAAGTGACAGAACTGGGATTTGAAGCCAAGGCTGGTTCCCACACTGTCCTATGATGCAATCCAGGAACTCTCTTGGTTTCCTAAGGAGAAGCAGAGAACCTTCTTCCCCCCGCCAGTCCCTCTGATGGAGCCCCCAAACTAGATGGTGAGGGGCACAGGAAAAGAGGCTGGCATTAAAGAAACAATAGGGCTGAAGAAACTGCATTGTCAATAACTGCTGAAAAATCATGACACTAATTAAGAACGATGCTCCCTGTTCTGCCAAAAGCTCTAGCTTCTTGCAGAGATCAATAAATCAAAAATAATTGTTTACTTTGTCTAGGCTCCTTCCCTTCTGCCTGTATTTTTTTCCTTCTTTCTTTGTATAATGTGAAAGTTGATGAAGGAGCCTCATTTTCACTAATGAAAGAAACTTAATTTTTTTGGCACTATATCCCTCATTAAGAAGAGCGAAATCCACTTAGGAGTGGCTTCTGCTGCCTTCCATTTGTCCAAACGAAGACCCCCAAATCAGCATAGGGCCAGTTTTAGCATGAAATTAGAGCTGCCATGAAATTTATGTCTATTGTTTTAGGAAAGATATTTAATGATAGATGGTAACAGTCACTAAAAATGACCACAGCCGTCTCCTCACTCTTGTTTTTGTTTCATCTCTCCACTCTCTCCCCAACAGTGTATGCAGGGCCAACAGTGAGGTGGCCTCAAAGAACTTGGAATCTAAAAACCAGGTTATCACTGAATACTAGATGGATACCAGAGGAGAAATAAGTAATATTACCTTAAAGAACTAGCAAGAAAAAAAATCTCCCAGGCTAGTACATAATAGTTCTTGCCCAGCCACAACACACTAGGACAGTAAAGTAATAAGACATAGGGCATGCCCTTCCCAGGACTGTCTAGGACATATCCAGGACGATCCTATTAACTTAAATACATTTTATGGCACATGTAATAGTTCAAATGATATGCTGGTAAACGTTTTTAACAACCAGATTTTTTTGGGGGGGGAAGCTCTAATTTGTAACATTTGCCAATTATCATAGTGTAAATATTCCCACCATGGTCCATTGTAAGTGACCGAGAAGAATGCTGGATTTTGGAAGAGATGTGTGTAATCCTCTGTGTACAGCTGTACACAATCCATTGAATACGGATTTGTTAAGAGATATGTACAATTGTTTCTTGTACATCAAAACCAGCAGGCTCTGGCAACCCCCGTAGTAGCCTTTGCCTCAGGAATCCTTTGATTATAATTGAGCTCTCTGTGTGGTTTTGTTCTTGGGAGGAAACTCACTTTTCTGACTCAACACTGTCTGCTTAATGGCTGCTCTTTTCTTCAGTGGCACAAGATACAGTTTCATGATGGTTTATACATCAGTTTAGTGGGAGTCAGTCCCTGGAGCCAGATCACACTAAGAGGGATAGCCAACAAGGCTGGGTAGCACAGATGGAGTTTGGTGAACAGATCACAGTATGGCTTCCCATTGGCACCAGTGCAGCTGCCCAGTGGCCTTCCTTCACCTCATGCGAAATTCTTATCACCCTCTGTTGTAACAGTTTTCTTCCTTCCTTATCAGTCCCTTCAGGCAGGCTCTGAATTCCAGAAGGATAGGTATGGGGACATAGTCGTCCTTGGCACGCTGTGGTGTTAGGCTAAAAACCATTAATACAAGGGAGCTGGCTAATTAGAATAAAGGAAACATCTACTGAGGACTTCTACCCACTGCTACATGCTGCTAAGTTCAACCCCACGAACTTGAATATATCTTCTCCCATAAAACACTTGAAAAGAGAAATTAGGAAGAGCCTTATAGCCCCTGTCACAGACTCTCTAACACTTTAAAAATTCCTGAACGGTGTGCTAACGTGCTTTAACTTGGTTTAAAGTGGTAAGGTCTCCACATCACCATGGAAATATCCCCCCCATACCCCTTTCAAATAATGAGATGGTAATAAAACAATGAACTTGAGGTAAACAAGAGGCAGAAATACTTTAAGCCAGAGGATGAGCAATCAAAAGACCATTTGGTAACGCACTGTCTGCAGACTGAATGGTGGAGGGCAAATAACTATGTACAAATCTAACATCAAGACTTGGAGTTTGAGTATTGTAGACTACCGGTTTCTACTTGCAAAATTCCCATTGCAGCTAGCCACAGAGGTGTATAATAAATTAGGTTCTGATAACCTGCGTTTAGCCAAAGTGTGAAAATCAAGTGGATCCTAGAGGAACTCAGAGGCTGCAAAGATTTAAACCGCCTAACTCAGGCAGTATCGTTTGGGGGACCCAGGCTGTATAGCCACAGAAGGAATATGTGGGCTGTTACTGATCTGGAGGTGAGGGAGACCTAATAAGTGGTTATGGCTACACCATTCAGTCTGGTCATGCTAGACACCCCAATTCTAATATAATTAAAAGGATTCCTGGACACCCCCACTTCACCCAGTCCACACCCAGACATGAAAGACCTAGAGTCAGACCCGGCAGAGCCATCTCCAACTGGCTATGGGCTCAAGGATGACCTCAGAAATGTTCCGAGAATGAGGTTGCTATAACTTTATTTCAGGTAGAATGGAAAGCTGCATTTATTTCAGCTCATGTGAGGGGGGCGGGGGCAGGGATGGGAGTCTTTCTACCATCTGAGTTAATTTCCTGCCTCGCGGTGGAAGTCCCTTCAGGGTTAGCAACGTGAACTCTCATTCTCAATGTCCAGCATTACAGCTGCAAGGGATATGGGATACACTGGGAGGCAGCAACCGCCATTATGTTTTTAGACAAATCCCCATGTCTTGCCTGTTTTCTTATTGGACTGACAACAAGTAGTGGCAATAAACCTCAATTAATTTAAAGACTAATAAATGGGTATACAAGAGTTCTCTGTGCCATCTTTGCAACTTTTCTGTATATCTAAACTGTTCTAAAATAAAACATTTCAAAAAAAACCTCCAGAAAAAAAATTACGTAATTTCCAGTTTATTGAGATGTTGAGTAGAGTTCCATAAAGGGATTGCTTTCCTGTTTAAAACTCTCCTTTGGTATCATCTCCACTGTATAAAAAACTACATAGAAAACAAAACTGGAAGAAAAGAAGCAAGAATGATAATAATGGTTGCCTTTGGAGGGTGGGCATCCATTGGAAAGGTGGAAGGGTTTTTTTCCTACCTCTTTTAGTTTTTCTTTGTCATCTAAATTTTCCACCATTACTTTTTAGGGAAAGGGTATTTGTAAAAAGGCTTTACATCTACTTTCCTACTGTCTACAAATTAAAGCTTCTTACCATAATATACCTTCATAATCTGGCCTTGTTTCTCCAATTTCATTGTCTACCATCCCTTCTCCTCCTTAAGATACCTGTACTTCTGGATAATTTTAAATTGCCCACAGTTGTCCCAGACATGCTCTGAGTCTTTGTACATCAAATAATCCTACAGGTTCAAATGCCTTCCCTCCTTTCCAGTCCAAGTTTTAGATGTTTCCTTCAAAACCTAGCTAAGATACCATCTTTTGGGGGAAAATATTCCTGACCCCACCATGCGTCTCTACACAATTCACTCTCTCCTCTCGCTGCCGTCCATAGATTTCTATCATTGCACTTAACACACTGATTGGTATTGATCAGACTGTATGTTAAGCCTGACTCTGAGATCACTGAGAGAAGACTAGTGCCTGATGTATTACGGCATCTTCAGTCCAGAGCCTGGCATATGGAACTTAGTGTAACACATCACTGATGGGCGGACTTAGTGAATGGGCTCATGAGCGTACATTTGGCTTCCCCCAGAAGGGAGCACTATATACTGGTAAAAAAAAAATAAGACTTGACCAAGTGCAAAGAGCCAAAGCAGAGAGGCAGAGCCCAGCTAGGAAGTCAGGTGAGAGGTGGGAGGGACCATGACAAAGGAACAGGGCTGTAGATGACCAGGAACCTCATCTGAGTCAGAGCCAGGGTGAGCAACTCTGAGAAGGAAGGGCTGTCTCTTCTGAGATCCCAGGGTGACAGTTTTAAAAAGCTGTCTTGCCGTGAGATGCCAGAGAACAGATTCTAACATGGCTCGTTTACTCATATGTATCTTACACTGTTAGGAACAAAATACCTGTCAGAGATCATTAAATCCAATGGTTTGTAAGCTGCCTTTCACAGAAATCTAGGATTCTGCAGAACCATTTCAAAGACAGGGCATGTGGGAAGGCTGGTGCTGCAGACCAGGTCATGAGCACTCCAACCAGGGCAGCTCCACTGGTAACTGGTTTACATCTTGACCCTCCGCAGAAAACTCTTAGGAGATGGTTCTGCTTAAAAAATAAAGGAAGATATGGAGGGAGGGGGAAGGAGGGAGGAGAAGGGATGAAAAGGAAGGGAAAGGAAGAGAGAGGAGGAGAGAGAAGGGGAGATGGAGGGAAGCAGGAAGGAGGGAGGAAGAGACGGAAGGAGGAGACCAGAAAGAAAAGTAAGTTAGAAAGGGGGAAGGAAGGAAGGAAGGAAGGAAGGGAGGGAGGGAGGGAGGGAGGGAGGGAGGGAGGAAGGAAGGAAGGAAGGAAGGAAGGAAGGAAGGAAGGAAGGAAGGAAGGAAGGAAGGAAGGAAGGAAAGGGAGGTGGAGGAAGAAAAGTTAAGGAAAAGAAACAAAGGAAGGAAGAAAGCAAACTACCGATAAAACCCAAACCTGTCATGAGAAAACGAAGAGTCAGGAGAGAAGTGATATTTCTGAGATCACAGAGGAAGGCGATGACACCATCATGATGACAAGTCTGGTCCTCTCCTTCCCAACTCAGGACTCCATGTTTGAGGACAGAAGCTTCATTAGCTCCTTCTTCCTCCCCTTCACCCCACAACGCAAGGGTGCCCAAACAGAGGCAGCAAGCTCAGGATGTCCAATGAAGCAAAAAGCAAGGGTAAAGGCGGGTGTTACGGAACTAAAAACTTCATATAGGAGATCAGACACTCTGGCCCTCTCATAACCTACTCACTTGAATGGGGAAAGTGGTTCCTAATTAGGGCAGCAACTGCTTGCATGTAAATAAGAGCTGGTGTGCCTGGAAAACCCTTGTCCTCCTAAATGGCTCAAATACTCCCCTTGTGAAGCCTCCATAATCCTGAATCACTAAGAAAAACCTCTCTTCAAATACCATACAAAAGACAACTTGAATAAGACTTGGGGGTATGACTGGTGGGGTCTAAGGTCTGAGGGCTGCCATACTTGTTCACTCTACATGCATTTTCTGAGGGTCTCTTATACGCTAAGTACTGTCCTAGGAGACGGATATACAGCATTGTTCTGTATATACCCGTTCTCGAAAGCTCAAAGTCCAACCATTCTGGTTATAATAATGTGTGATGAGGACTATCAGTGATGGAGGAGAATCGGTGTGAAGAAAGTACTAGCACCTACCCCAGCACAGGAGAGTCAGAGAAGAGTTCCAACAGTGGTTCTCAACTTTAATCTGCATGTGTATTACCAGGGGGGAATCTTATTAAAGTGCAGATTCTGATTCTCTGGGATGGGGCCTCAGATTTTGCACGTCTAACAGGCTCCCAGATGCTGCTGACACTATTATTCAGAGACCACAGATGGGGAAGCAAGTCCTAGAACAGAGTCACTCAAAGCATGGTCCATGGACTAGGCAGATCATCATCACTTTTGAGTTTGCATAAATGCAAATTCTCAGACTTTAGCCCAGACCTACTAAATCAGCATCTCTGGGGAAGGAGCTCAGAAATCTGTGTTTTACCAGATCCTCAAGTTAGTTCGTATATATGCTGACATTTGAGAAGCAGCATCCTTGGGAAGCTACTTGAACTGAGTCCTAAAGAAAGAGGTACGACTGCCATGTTGAGAATCGCATACAACAGCATGTATCATAGGCTCCACTGTCTGCCTCCCATTTTGGTTCCAACAAATGCTTTTCATTCACTTCGCCAGACAGAGTAGATCAGTGTCATTGCCAAGGCAAAACAGGACCCGACGTCTTGTAAGCTGAAACAGGCTTGAAAACTCCTGGAGGGGGAAGGAAGTTTACATCCTGTTGAAGCGCCACAAAGATGGCAAGTGTGTGGCATGTGTGCCACTGTATCCTCGTTCTGTTCCTGTGGTAGACATCGTTAATCAATCCCTGTTCTCTTTCCTGCTTAGCCCAGACACTCTCTCAGAAACCTCAGCCTAGCTCTCCAGGCACCCCCTATCGACGGAGAGAAGCTTGTACCTAAGAGGATATCCTTCGAATCGTGTCCTTCATCATTGACTGATAACATCAGTCAAAATAAATGTTTTACCAGGTACAGGGGGAAAAAAAAACACCACCATCATTTTTCTTCATGATGTGCATTTCTCAGGAAGAAGAATCCTTATTCCAGGGTTATCGGGTGAAGTGACCAAACTACCGATTTAGTGAGCGACATTTGCGTATTTCATCCAAGGGGAAGAAAGGAAGGGGGAGGAAATGCACATGTACTGAACCTGTACATCATGCATCTTCCTAAGCGTTTTACATACAGAACAGTTCATCTAACCCTCACTACAACCATATAGGGTAAGTCTGTCATCCACATTTTACAGAGGCGGTTAGAGAAGTTAGATAACCTGCTGCTGTCAAACAGCTAGTGGAGAGGTCTCTCTGGCTTGAAACATGGGTCCTTTTCCAGTATACTTTAATTAACAGGCACATCACAGATGTAGTATTGATAAAAAACAAAAACAAAACACAAAACAGCAAGGGCTTCACGATAGTTTTTACTAGAGAGCTCTAAAAGTTAAAAGAGCCACTACATTCTCTTAAAGGGCCCTTCTTGGCCCAGAATCTCTGAGTTTCACATGGCCTGGGACCTAGATTTCAGCTTCTTGTTGATCCTCAAAGGACATGATAGTGGCTACGGACTATCTACCTCAGGAGCACAAAATCCTTAAGGAAAAAAAGCTGGTGGCTTTATCAGACAAAACCCAAAGCAATGATCTGTTGTTTTAACTACTAATTCTGCTATCTGGTTTATTTCCCTTTGGTGGCCCTTGATGGAGAGTGTAATATTAATGTATTTATTAATACATCAATCTTGCTATTGACATAATTGTATATTATAACAATAATTACATTATTATCACTGTCACTATTACTATAATGTCACAGGTTGGGTTCTCCAGAAGCATAGGTGAGATGGAATTTAGGGGGCAAGATATTTATTGGGGATCAACAGATGTGAAGGGAAAAGGGGAGGAAATAAGATAGAACAGGGTGAAGAGCGCTCGAAAAGCCTGAGCATCAGCAAGGGGCTCTGGAATGAATATTATCCACCAGGGTTGTCCCCTTCAGGCCAAAATGGTCCAACCTTTATCTAACTGCCTCATTCAGTCACTAGAGGCTGGATGCTCTGGGAAGAATGTGATGGTACAAGCTCTCTATGGCAGAGGCAGACCCTGAAAGAGCTGATAGCTATAGGCTCTCTGCCGACCACACTCCTTATAGCTGGACAGCAAGTCCTTTTTGAAGGAGGAGCCAGATGGTACATCTTTATTTACCAAAACGAATGATACCTCCTGATATCTGAATGGGGCTTTACAATTGATGACATTTTCATATCTGTTAGCACATTTGCTCCTTGCAATCCAAATCTGAACATGATGTTTTGTAGTAGATTCCATTGTTGTCCAAAATACTTGTTCTTCCCTATGGAAGGATTACTTCCTCCCCTACTGACATCAGGCTCAGTCATGTGACTTGTGTTGGCCAGTGAGTTATGAGTGAAAGTGATGAGCATCACTTCTGAGCAAAAGCTTTAAGAGCCGTTACATGTGCTGTCATCTTCTCTTTTTTTTCCCCTCTGCTAAGAGTCCAGGTTGTCCCACACAGGAGCTGCTCCTTCAGTTCCTGAGTAAAGGCACTGGAGCAAAAACTGCAGGCGCTCCACAATGGACATGAACGTGAGTGAGTTAGATTCCTCCGTTGTCTCAAGCCACTAAGATATTTGGGGATGTTTGTTGCTACAGCATAACTTATCCTAGCCTGACTGAGACACACTCCCATCACTTACAAGCCCATGCTCCTCAGCAAGGCTTTATATAATCCCACCTCTGCCCGTCTCTCCAGTCTTATCTCCCACCATGCCTCACCTTGCTTTGTTCCAACCACATCAAACACATTTATCTTCTTGAAAAGCTCCTACCCCTTCTCTAAGATGTAGCTCAAATATTCTCTATGCAATTTTCCCTCATCCCCTCTCCCTAGGCAGAAATAACTCCACCAATCTTTCTCATTGGGCTGTGTAGAAACTATTTTGTTAATCCCTTCCCAGTGCCTAGAACGCTGTCAGGCACTCAGCAGGGGGTCAATAACATTTGTTGGAATAAATCATAGTGTATATTGATGTGTTAGCGTGTGCCAGGAACTGTACTAAGTGTTTGAAGAAGATTATTTAACTTAAATTAAGGTAGGTATTACTACTGTTCCCTATTTTTTTTAATGTTTTTAGGTTTATCCATTTTACTTTTTTTTTATTTCTGTGTGTATTCACAGTATGACTTGTCAGTAGTAATAAGAATTATAATTAGGCTCTAAATACATAGGTCATTGTTGATCACATAATGAGAAGTTCCTAGAAGAGAATACTAGGTAGGGGAAGAGAGAGAATACCAAAAGAAAGGAAAACAGGAAGATATTTTTAAAAACTAGGTTTCTTTATTTCACCTAGTGGTTCCTGAAGACACTCAGATGCATTGTTTTTGAAGGGCAGGGTCAGTGTTAATCTACGAAAATCAGAAGAAGGCCTAGCAACTAAATAAGTTCAAATGAAAGTTTCAGCATTCAAAAGGAAATAAAGTACCTAAGGAAACTTGGTCCAGCTATTTTTAATGTAGTAGAGACCCTATGTGTGGGGATATATGTAAAAGTCTATCTACATTACCTAATGCTCAGGTAATACAGTTTGACATGACTTAGGAACAGAATACATATCACTGTATAAAAGTACAGCAGAAGTACAACTTCTTGTTGAAACCGGGCACTACAGTGAAATAGTAAGTAAGTAGGACATAGGTTATAAGGATTGAATTCTTTATGTGCTTTGATCAAAAGCCAAAAGAAGGTACTCTGCAACCTTGAATAATTTCCCTCAAATTTGATTAAAGTCATCCTCAACATAATGGTTCCTACAAAGTTATGTAAGCTGTGACAAAGTGAGAGAGTGGCATGGACATATATACACTACCAAACATAAAATAGATAGCTAGTGGGAAGCAGCCGCATAGCACAGGGAGATCAGCTCGGTGCTTTGTGACCACCTAGAGGGGTGGGATAGGGAGGGTGGGAGGGAGGGAGACCCAAGAGGGAAGAGATATGGGAACATATGTATATGTATAACTGATTCACTTTGTTATAAAGCAGAAACTAACACACCACTGTAAAGCAATTATACTCTAATAAAGATGTTAAAAAAAAAATATTCCTTGTCCTACAACTACTGTTGCCTATTTTACAAATGGGAAACCTGAGGCCCAGAGAGGTTAAGTGACTTAATTGGTACTTGGCATTGACAAAACCAGGCAGTCTAGTTTTACTACCCATTTTTTCACCACTGTGCTATCTTGTAGGAATCTGGGGGTGCCCAGATTCCAACAAATTTTCTCACGCATAGTGGATACTCCATAAATGGTGGCAGTGGTGTATAACGTATTGGTGTATTTGGAAGGGTCTGAACCTAGTGCAGGCATAGAGGGAGTACGTTGACTGTAGGACATTTAAAAGCAATAATAAAACCAACTAAGGTTTGGTCTTCTATATAATATCGCAATGCACTAGCAGTTCTAAACAATTCCAGCAATTCTAAATGTCAGTAATAAAATATTCTTCCATGCCAAGATGGGTCATTTCCACTCCCACACCCATTAATACAACACTGAATCATTGCTGAATGAATGAATGAACTAGTTGATAGAACTGATGAGAACGTGAATGATGAAGATGTAGCAATTGACACAGAACAAGTAAATTACTTCCACGACTTTCAATTAAAACAAAGCCCATAGTCTAGTTTGACATGTTGCCTCCCTTGTAATGTAACCGAAACTGGGGAGAAACCAGCCCATCCAGCTGGATGGGCCTGGCATTCCAAAAAAGAATTTAAAAAATCCATTTTGCAAATCCAAAGGGCCCGGCATCACCCAGTAACCTGAAGTGTGGGGACAGAGAAATATCTCACCTTGGTGCCCCCATGTCGCCTATGCCAGTGACCAGAGCTGCAGAGATGCAAGTAGGATTTAGGGAGGAATCTGGAACCTGAATTTGAATGGGCTCCATTAGGCAATGACCCAAGTTTCCACAGCCCACTTCTCACTAAACTGTTATTCTGCTAGGAAAAAGAAATGAAAATCATGGATATTCCTTATGAGTAAGTTCTGTGTCTTGGGCCTTTGATGATAATTTTATGGACATTTCATCATAACAGAGGATGCAAATTTCAATATTCCCACACTTCCACGTCAGTACAGAATTCCCTAATATTTGATGAAACCAAGGTCCGGAAAAATAAAGGATCCCACCCAGCTCTGTAGTCCCCATCTGGGAGACTCCTCACTTCTTTGTCTGCTTGTCTGTCTCTGACTACATTGTGAGTTTCTGGAATGTGGAGATGCTATCTCCCTCCTCACTGCTTCCTGAGCTATTAAAGTAGCCCTTGGCTTGTTGAGTGACTAAATGATCACTTTGTCTCTTTCTGTCCTGGTCTAACTTGGTGTCTCTCTCCTAGTACACCTTCCCCAAGTGATTGACTGGGTCACCCAGAACGTCTTCCCCATTCATGAAGACAACCTAGAGATCGGGGTCAGGGGACAGATCCTTAAAACGTCTACTTTTCATCAGAAATGCTTCCCATAAGCTGCTCACTTTCTCCCCAAAGTTTTCTCCAGTGACCCTCAATGGATATCAGCGAGAGGGTCTCGATTAGGGGTTAATTGCTTTAAGTACTTTTTAACACCTATTAATTTTTCTCTTCATGAGGAAGACACGTGTCAGGACTTGCCAAACAGTCACAAGGAAGAAGCAGTGACATCAGAGCAGTGGTTCTCAACTGGCGGAGAGAATTTGCCCCCAGGACCCAAAGGGACATTTGGCAGTGTCTGGACACATTTTTGATTGTCACAACTGGGGCAGGAGATGCTACTACAGCTAGAGGGTGGAGGCCAGGGGTGATGTTAAGCACCCTAAAATTCACAGGACAGGCCCCCACAGCAAAGAAGTATCCAGCTCCAAATGTCATCAGTGCTGAGGGTATACCTGCATTAAGGTATACCTATATCTGCATTAAGGCACTGGTGCTTAGAAGCAATAAATATATGAAGTCACAAATTCCACGTTGGGAAAAGTAATGATGAGCAGCACCAGCAGTAAACACCTACTGGGTGGCAGATACTCTTTTAAGTACTTGGCACTTGAACTGTTTCAACCCTCATCCAACAGCCCTCAGAGGCAGGGATGGTCACTACCCCTATTTTACTAATGAAAACACCAAGGCACCCGAAGTCACCCAGCTAGCATGTGTCAGAGCTGCTATTCCACCTCACCTGCCTGGCTCCAAATCTCTATTCTTAACCACTCTGGTGTGTTGGAGATCAGGGACCATATCTGTTCTGGCTTCTAGATTCATTTCTTTAGGAAAGAGACAATGCAACAGAGCAAAGCGTTTGTACTTCTGTAGGTTTTTGTGGAAGGAAGATATTAGGACTGAACACTGAACAGTGACTAATGTTTGCAATTGTGGGGAACAAATGGCAAATGCAAGAGCCCGAGATTGCTTTCTACTTCCGCCATAGTGGTTAATGAGAGAGGTCAGTGTAGTGGAAAGAACATTATGTCAGGAAGCAAGAAACATGGATTCGGGGCACAGCTCTGCCACAAATATATCCTGGAACTTCGGGCAAGTTTCTTAAACTCTCACCTGATTTTTCTTTTTGATATTGTCCCTGTTTTCCATTTTAGTTCTGGCAGGTGTGTAGAGCACGAGTTGACAAACTATGGCCCACAGGTCAAATATGTATGGCTGTCAGCTGTTTTTGACAATAAAGTTTTATTGAGACATGGCTACACCCATATTTTACACGTCATCTATGGCTGCTTTTGTGCTACCATGGCAGAGATGAGAGGTTGTAATAGAGATTGTAGAGTCCAAAAATATTTAAAATATTTATTATTTAGTCCTTTACAGATAAAGCTTGTTGACCCCTAGGGCAGAGGTAATTCTTTGTAGATTTTCTTCTAAATCTCTGAAGTAGAAAAACAAAAACTGAAACATGAGCCGAACACTACACTGACCTACCATGATGGTCTAACGAAATGACCCATGTGAAAGTACTCTGAAAAAGAACAAAGAAATATCTGCATTGTGGTATTAATACCAATTGATGGGGATGCAGCGTGACAGAATAAAAACCAAACAAACAAGCAGCATGGGATCTGGAATCAAGCACACCTGAGTGTGAATCCAAGTCCCACCAACTATTACTATTGTGATTTGGAAGTAGTTATTAAATTCCTTGGGTCTCAGTTTTCTTAACTGGGGATAATAGTAAATCAAGGAGAGGGAATAATGCATAATGGAGATAATTATACTTATTTCCTAAGGTTGCTGGGAAGATTCAATGAAATATATTCAATGATTTATGCATTTGTTCGTTGAATATGTCTGATGGCTGCCCCACTGTGTACCTGGAGCTATGCCAATCACCAATGTACAGCTATGCCTAGACAGCCATTGTCCCTGCCATCCTGGCACCTAAGGTCTAGTGGAATAGAAAGACATGGAATTCACTTAAGTGCTACCATTCAAATTAAGTGGTAGCATTACTAGGACTGCTACTAATAGCTAAGAATGTTTTAAAGGTAGAACACATCTGGGTTCCCAGTTGTGAGAGGGCTTTGCGGGCTGATGGGGGATTCACAAGAGTGGGAGAGCTTAACCCAGGGAAGGAAGAAGGAGAGAAGGTACACAGCAGAACGCTGTGTATATCTGAGCACTGGATAAGACACGGGGTAAGAGATGGCAAAGAAAGAGAAAGGAGGGTGTGAAAAAGGCAGGGCTAGAGGTCCAATTTCCCTACTGGACATCATGAAACGACAGAGAACACTACACATCCACCAAGGATATCCCCTCCTCTTGCAGAAAGCAGCCCCTCTGAGCCCCTCCAAAGAAATCCACGCAACTGCAAACACACAACGGAGCGTTGCACAACCACACTTCTGTACACCGTAGCGGGGTATGTATGTGTTTTTACTAAACTGGTTCCCTTTTCTTCCTGGGAAACTACAACATATCCACCAGGCTTTCCTGTAATTAGGTTTAGCCATACAACAGTTCTGGCCAATGGAACCTAGGCAGAAGTTATGTTTGCCCCTCCAAGCCCATCCTAGCAAAAGCCTCCTATCTAGATCTCTTCTAGTCTGCTGGTGAGATGCAGAGGACCCAGTGGAGAATCACAAGGTCTTACGGGAATGGTGGAGCCGCAAGATAGAATAATCCTGGGTCCCTGAATAACTGCATTGAGCAGAGTTCACTATACTGTGCACAAGAAAAAAACATTGATTATGTTAATGCACTGAGGATTTGGGCTTCATAACCCTAATTAATACATATAAGTGTCTTATTTTTCCTTTATATATTTACTACCTCCGGAATGGAAGCCTTCATGAAGACAAGAACTCTGTCCTCTTATATTCACTCTTCTGTCCAGAACAGTCTGACATAAAGAAGATGCTTAGATAACATTTGTTGACCAAAATATTAGCAAGTTCAGGACAAGATAAATAGCAATCAATGACCTGGAGTCCTTGGAAAGATGGGATAAAAGCACACACACAGAACTGCTCTTCTGTAAACTGCAAAGTTACGTGAAGATGTTAAATTTTACCATCACCACAGAGGTGGGTTTGCAAATGCACAGGTGAGAGCATGCATGAAGACACAGTCACACCAAGTTCTTACAGCATCGTGGTGCAGACACAGGTACGTGGACACAGCATGGCTGAATTCTTACAGCATGATGGGAACCTAAAGTGTTCATGTCCCAGACAGACTAAGGGACTTCCAGACCTCACGTACATATGGGACCCATGTCCATGTGGGACCTACATCCACCTCCAAAGGGCACATAAGCTGAGCTGACAGATTCATAAACCAAGTGTAGGCTTTGGGCCCAGATAATCTGGGAATAAATAAGAATATTAACTCATACTTATTGAGTTCTTTGTAGCTTTCCAGCACTGTGATGGTAGTGTTATGTATGTCCCCTTGTACTTAATTCTCTTATGAACCCTAAATGGTAATATTATTGTTATCTTCATTTTCCAAGTCAGCAAATTCAGGCTTAGAGACCTGAAAGGAAGTGCTCAAGGCCACCTGGCCAGTGGGGCTCCCTAGATGCCTGACCCTGGTACGTGCCTTCACCTCTCCATCCCTCTGTATCTTCATCTGAAACGTGAAAGCAAAAACACACACCTGATCGTCTAGTAGGAGGATGGAATTAAATCAGACCATCTGCAGAATTCCCTGCAGATCACCTGACACTCAGAAGGAGCTCAGAAATATGCCACCTCCCTTCCTTTCCCTTCTCTTCCTTTGCCCAGAAGAGCTGTTTCGTCCTAGGCAAGGTTCTGGTCTCCAAAAACCAGCAGCAAGCAAAGGCTATGTCTCCAAAAGACTCTGCCACCAGGGCCAGCCAGTGTGCACCAAATCCTTAATAGTATTTAAACATTGTCTGGGCATCTAATTATCTTAATCATGCAGCATTCAAAACAGCACAGTCGGTGTGCACCCCAGGAAAGGTCCCATTCACAGAACAGGTACTGTTCAGGGACTATTAAGCCAGAGAAAAATGTCTAATAACAGAATTTAACAATTGCAGCACTTAAAACAGGAAAGGCTGACAAGTCTTCATCGGAAGCTGGGCTCTCCCCAAGATCCCTGCTCCAGGCTGAGCCTCTCAGGATCCTTTCACCTCCGAAGTACCTCATCTCAGCTTTAGCCTCCCCTGCTTCAGGGGCTGTGACTCTTTTATTGTGATTATGTGGGTTAATTCTCACAATCACGTGAGGTCAACATGGTTAAGTCCATTTCACGGATGGGGACCGAGCCTTAGAGACTTTGGTTTGGAACAAAACTCCTAAGCTCACCCTGCAGCCCAGTGTCCACCTTGACGGCTTAAGAATTTATGTCTTGGTAGAGAACAGACTTGTGGTTGCCAAGGGGGAGGGGTGTGGCGGAGGGATGGAGTGGGAGTTTGAGATTAGCGGATGCAACTATTACATATAGAATAGATAAACAACCAGGTCCTACTGCAGAGCATAGGGAACTATATTCAATATGCTGGAATAAACCATAATGGAAAAGAATGTAAAAAAGGAATGTATATATGTGTATAACCGAGTCACTTTGCTGTACAGCAGAAACTCACACAACACTGTAAATCAACTATACTTCAACAAAATTAATTTTTAAAATAAATAAATAAATACTAATATTAAAAAAAAAAAAGAATTTATATCTTGGAAAAGAACCAAAGAGAAACTCCTTCAAGAGCTGGCCTGTAGTGTCTGCTCTTCCTTCCGGTCTCTCCCTCTCCTTCTCTTCCCTCTTCCCCCTTCCTTCCTTCCCAACTTCCTTTTCCTTTTCTCTCTTTCGTCTCTATCCCCCCCTTTGTTTTCTCTTTTCTTCCCCTCTTTCCTTCTTTATGTCCCGTAGTCTCTCCACCTTTCCCCCTTGGTGTTTTTCTCCATCTCTTTCTGTCTCTCTGTATCTCTCTAGAGCTCTCTCTCTCTGTGTCTCTATTTGTCTCTCTCTGTCTCTATTTGTCTCTGTCTCCCCCTCTCTCCCACTTCCTCACCCTCACACACTCTCACTCTCTCCCTGTATTGATTACCTACCTACTCTTTGCCTGGCCTCCTGCACCCCACTGGGACGGGCAGATCAATTAGACACTGTCTCTGACTTCCAGGAACCCACACTAAGGAAGAGAAGGGAGGTAAAGAACCACACAGACAAGCGCAGTAGGAGGTGAGCATGACGACGCGGGGAGGCTGAAGGGCTGTAGGAGCAGGGAAGACGGCCCCAGGGAAGGCCTGCTCTTCACGGCAGCCTCTACATCACTGTCCACACTGCTGTCCAAGCTCAAGATGTCACTATGTGCACACATGGGGCCGCCAAGGCTTTGTCAGCCTCTGCAGATCACCAAGTTCTCAACGTGTGCCGTAAAACGCTTAAGGGCTTGCCACTAGCTGGGATGTGTCATGGAAATGGATCCTTCCTCACATCCTGTCAATTTCAAATCAGGCTGCCCATTGCTGGGAGAGCCATACTTCTTGTTAAGAGAAAAAGAAACTGATCTGCTGTCTGCTTGTCTCTGTCCCAGGCTATGGTGAATAGTCAGGTAACATCAGACATCAGCCAGCCAATGTCCTACACTAGCCTCAGAGTTGTGCAATGTTCAGTGTTCGCAAGACCAGATTAATGAACCAAAAACACATAAATATTTCTTGAGTGGCTATGACAGCCTTGCACCAGACTGGGTTTTCACAATCAGAAACTGTCTCACGTTGAGGTCATCTTGTGTAGATGGTATAAAACAGCACATTTGGAGTCAAACAGATTTTGGTTCCTAATTGTGAGGTCTTGGGTGAGAAACTGCCTCTCTACGAGGCTCAGTATCACATTTTTACAAGGTGGATTATATTACCTACATTGCAAGACTATTGATCAAAATGGAGATGAGCATAGTAGCTCCTCCAACATCAAATAGGAACGCAGTCCATGATACTTATGATTTCTAAATATTATGACTCTAACTCATCATAATGGTTCTGTGAGATAGGTAACAGCATACACTCATTTCAGGAGAAAAGCAAAGAATCAAAGACACGCCACTAATAAAACAGAAAGCCAGACTCTGAGATGCAATCCTTCCACACAGGATACCCCATCCCATCAGATAAGTTACCATCAAGAAGGAAATCAATGGTGAATTCACATGTCAGGTCCATCCAGATTGTGGAGGACACCAATGGCGTCTCAGTTTTGTTACCCTGTCCAGAGCTGACAGAACAGGAGGCCTGCCTATCCCCCTTATCCCAGAGTTCCCCGGCATGTTACAGGTAACCTGCAAATAGTGAAAGGCTCCAAGTGCTTTATGTTTTAACAGGTCTGATCTCTCTTGGGCTTGGGGAACTGACACTACCTTTCTCTCCCTCCCCACCCTGGCTAATAACTTTGGTCATAAGGCAACCTCTCTTCAAAGCCTTTCTTTCCTGTCAGGTTGAGAAAGTTCCAGTTTGGTGATTTTTCATTATCCCCCCATTTAGATAATTTTCAAAACACAGTGGAACCTTCAAACCGAGTGAACAATGTTGCCAATCTTTCTGCGGGCTACCTCTGCTAAGCATTAAGAGATAAACTGACTGCAGTGGAAGGGGAATTTGGAACACCGTTGCCATTAATAGTAATAGGGGAAGCCAAGTGCATCCTGAAGTTCGGTCACAGCAGGAGGCATTAGAGACACCTGTGTATCAAGGGCTGGACTCAGTCTGAGTCAGGATTCAGTGAGGCCTTTCCTCACCAAGGAGAGCATCCCCAAATGCAGGGCACAATGGAGTGATGAAGGGAACACTCAGACACTGAGTACCTGCTGTATGCAAAGCCTTTTAAGAATGTTTTCTTGGGCCTCCCTGGTGGCACAGTGGTTGAGAGTCCGCCTGCCGATACAGGGGACACGGGTTCGTGCCCCGGTCCAGGAAGATCCCACATGCCGCGGAGCGGCTAGGCCCATGAGCCATGGCCACTGAGCCTGCGCGTCTGGAACCTGTGCTATGCAATGGGAGAGGCCACAACAGTGAGAGGCCCGCGTACCGCAAAATAATAATAATAATAATGTTTTCTTGCTTTATCTTCAGAATAATAACAAGAGTTGGGAGTAATATGTTTTGTGAATGAGAATGTAGAGGTAGAAACCCAAAGTTATGTAGCTCATAAGTGATGGATCCAGGATCTGAAATATAGTCTGTCTAGCTCCAAAAGTCCCATGGCTAAGACCACTTTACTATGAAAAAGCCTTGCTTTCTGCATTCTTCAATGTCTCTTTTGCAAGAGAAGATAGGGCTGCTTCTCTTGGAGGCAGTTGAAGAACTATAAGTTCACTATCTTCTGTGATAACACAAAAAGAGACCTTTGCCCATTCTCACTAGATTCGCAGTTTCTGCCAACTGTGCTCACCATCCAACTCATACATTTGTTTTTTAAAAGATATAATCCACCTGTCCTACTTTGTGCCATTCAATAGAGTAGTCTTCCTGTATTATTCAGAACAGCCACTTCTGCTTCATGAGTGGGTACCAATAGCAACTGGGCCACTCATAGCCCATCCCACTACCATAACAGGCATTATTAATCAATTTCCCACTGAGCAGCCACTACCAATGGATCAGATTATGCACTGAAGATTCAATCTATTCACCAGCCCTGACCCAAGCCAATCACAGCTCCTAAACGAATGAATTTATCTTTTGGATTAACAAAATCTGTTCTTTCTTGCCTCACTTCCCAAAAGAGTAGAAAAACAAATTGACTGTATTCTAATGTGTACCTTTACCAACACATTTCTTTTATTTTTTAATTCCCACATACCCTCCCGAAGATTTGGATCCAGACAAATAACCTAATTCTCATACCTTAGTTCCATCACATTTGTTTATTATAGGACCTTAGGGACGTTGGGTTTTTCATCTATAAAACAGACAGGATAACACTGTCCCTGTGGTGTTGTTTGAGCATTAAATGAGCAAACATTCATAGAGCACCAAACACAACGCCATTAGTGACATCAGTCCACTAATGTCAACAGGCTTCTCCCTTCCCCCCACAGCCACCAATCATGATACTTGTGTATTTGCTCCTAACAGAAAACTGGTACTGAACAACACTATGAGCAAACCTACAAACCCAAGTGACACTGCATATTTCTCTTCCAACTTCTTGAAAAAAAATGCCCAAACATCTTAGAGGAATCTCCTCCTCCTCTCCACCACCGCCTGGCTGGTTTCCTGCGTTACAGAGATCTTTCCAACCCATTCCCTCTAGCATTTAGGAAGGGCGGAGTCTCAAGTCAACCTGAGGATAGCCACTTGCCTGAGGCTGAAACAATCACCAGCGGCTTGGCAAGAAATGGCTGTGTCCTAAAGCGACAGCTGAAGAGGACCTTTGGCTGAGCAACAAAATTCTGCAGTGGCTGGTAACTGCCTAGAGCTGAATTGTACACAGAGGCTGAATTTCCTTCTCTTAAAACCAGTGCCAGTCCCAGATTATTTATTTCTTCAACAGCAAGAGAAACAACAAAAGCGTTGAGCCCCTACTCTGGGCAAGGCATGGGCTAGATCCACCAACCACCCCTCCAGGCACTTCTCCAATGAGCTGAAAAAATGAGAGTAACCTTGGACACGGATGGAGAGCTTCCAATGTGCTGGGCACTGCAGTATTTGATGTGGACTATCTCACTCCATCCTCAGAGAATCCCATGCAATAGGACTTCCATTATCATCATTTTACCAAAGAGGAAACTGACGGTGAGAGAGAAGGATGCTGAATATGCCTGTTACAGACACCTGTCCTGTGTGTGTGTGTGTGTGTGTGTGTGTGTGTGTGTGTGTGTTGAATTTAGTAATCTATTATAAAAGTCATAATGCTGATTGTAAAAATTTTGAACAGAAATGGACAAAATGAAACATTAAAGTTACCCACTCCCCTTCCTGCCCACAAGATAAATGCTGATACATCTGGTATAGACACCTGCCAGACACTGTCCATCCCAAGAAAGTCATATTAAATATAATTCTTCATATATTAGAGCTTTCTCCTATTTGTACTAGTTTTTGTACCAGTATCTTTAATGTTTATATTTCCAGCTGAAAAAGTAATACATGGCTATTATAGGAAATGAACAGAATGCAGAGACAGATTCTCTCAATTGTCCATTACATTACTGGCCAGGCCTGAACTGGGTCAGGCAACTGGAGTTTAGCGGTGGAAAGACCACTGGGCTAGGAGACAAATCACTGTGCAGAGAATCCCAGCTCTCTCCCTATGTGCTAGCTGAGTAACTTGAAAACAATCTCTTAATCTCTTTGACTCTTAGTCTTCCTATCTGCAAAATGGGTTATTATTGTCTACCTCCAAGGATTACCTGTGCTTAGCAAAGGGACCGTCATACAAGTACTAAAAACACAAATAAAAAGTGACCAGCCTCTTCCCTCCCTAACGTCATTATTATTTGATTAGTCTTGCCCTCTCTACTTTCTTCCTCCAAGAAGGCAGCCTTCCCACACTTCGGGGCATCGTTGCTGTCTCTCTTCCCTTCTTTGCCAACCTGCCAGGGCTATTTCTCTCTCTCAGCATTTTCCTCTCTCATAAATATTTGCAAAGCCTGCTCTGTCTCTTTGTGTTTTCACGCCTGGTTTTGCCACCTTCTTCGCAGAGCTGATTTGATATAAATATTTATGTGTAAAAATATGTTCTCCTGGTCCCCCGTGTCCTCCCTACACACTACCACTGGGGCACTGCTAACATGGTGTCACCATGCAGCCTGGTGGGGCATCGGGGCCACCAACTTCACCCTGCATTGTGGGAGGAACAGATGTTTGATGTGGAATCCCCTGGTAACAAGTCCCCTGGTAACAGGTCTTCGCTGATACACCAAAGGGCCCCTAAACTCTACAATGGAATCTAACAGCTTTCACTGCAATTTTATAGACAGTCCCATGGGAGTTCCCTCAGGGTTGGGAGTAACTCTGTTATCAAACTAGCTTGGCCAAAGCTAAGAGAAATATATGTATATAATTGTCTCTCTGCACCCTTCTTTCCTTTAATCCATTCTCAGGGCTGCTTGCAGACACACCTACACTACTGTCCCCTCCTGTGGACAACTACAGTCATGATGTCATTTTTAAGGTCATGTCAGCTGGAGTCACCCCATTCCCACCTGACCTCTAAGACCACACTGTCTTCATCCCTTTATGTCTCCCTGTCATGTTCTCATTCTCCCTGGAGTCCAGCCTCCTCTTTCTGAGGTCATCCATCATCCTTCTTCCAAAAAATGTACCTCCTAGTGACTGTTGCTGTTGAAGGTGGCCTCGCTTGGTACCTTAAATCTCATGAAATCCACAACAACAACAAGAACAAAACATGAGGGACTTCCCTGGTGGCGCAGTGGTTAAGAATATGCCTGCCAATGCAGGGGACACGGGTTCGAGCCCTGGTCCGGGAAGATCCCACATGCCGCAGAGCAACTAAGCCCGTGCACCACAACTACTGAGCCTGCACTCTAGAGCCCGCAATCCACAACTGCTGAGCCCACGAGACACAACTACTGAAGCCTGTGGACCTAGAGCCCGTGCTCTGCAACAAGAGAAGCCACCATAATGAGAAGCCCGCGTACCTCAATGAAGAGGACCCCTGCTCGCTGCAACTAGAGAAAGCCTGCGAGCAGCAATGAAGACCCAACACAGCCAAAAATTAATTAATTATTTTTTTTAAAAAAAGAACAAAAGATGAGTCCCCTCTTAATATTCAGTACTCACCTCAGATAACTAGTTGGCCAACAACTCGGTAAAAGAATACGTGCCTTGAGCTGAGCGTAAGACCCACACTATAGCCCTCTAAGGCTCTGACTGGGGGAAAGGTGTTTTGAGTGCAGCCCATTTCACTCCTAAATCCCACTAGGTCACTTTCCCTGAAAGAAACAGCAAATGGAGAGATTGCTGCCCACACCTCTGGAAGGCTATGAAGAGAGGAAGTTTAATTATAATTCATTTAATTATTAGTAATTAATGATGATGATTAATACTCATTATTTGATAATTATATAGTTATTCAATAATATATAACATAAATAATTATTATTAATTAGTAATGAGCATGCATATCACATCAATAAGTGGAAATATGACATAAACTATTAGCATAAAAAGATTCTCAGATTGGGTCAAAAAATTAAAATCTAGCCCTTATTTGTAGATCACAGTGAAACTGCATGATGGATTATTAAAAAGGGCACTGTTTTCAAAAATCAGAGAAGCAGAATTCTAACATCAAAGATATCATTTGAGGCTGTGTGACCTCAGGCTTGTAGACCTCCTCTCTACAAGCTTCTGGTTGCCCAGCTACAAACCAAGGACATGGCTATCTCCAGGGGAGGCTCAAATATGGTAAGGAATGGACAAAGGTGTGTAACTTTCAGAATACTCAGGCTTTTCTCCTCAAAGTATGGTCCACGGACCAGCAGTCTGTGAAGGGACAGCTGATGTAGGCTGGACTCTCAGCTCAGAAAGCCTCCGCTAGAACCCTGGCCTGATCCCTTACTCGCTGTTTGGCCCTGGGCAAGTCACTGAATTTCTCTCAATCTCAGTGTCTTTACCTGTAAAATGAGGATATGTCTATCTGCATCATAAAGTCATTATGAGGATAAATAAGATGACATTAAACATGTGAGAAAGGACAAACTGTTATCACTACAGATACAGCTGAGATTAGAAAATAAGAGAGTATGATTTAAGTTTCACTGTAAATTAGAAATCGAGTTGACATGGCCAATTTTTCAAGCAAAATTTACATGACCCAACTGGCCCAAGAAAAAGTAGAAAACCACAGTAGACCAAAAGCCATTTAAAAATAATAATTTCTATGGTGCTTCTCTTTCAATGTTTCTGTCCGTTGAACATTTTTCAACATTTCAAAATTAAAAGTCAGGGTAAAAATAATACACTTAGACAAAGGTACTAGCCCAAGATGGTTTTCTAGCCAAATTCTAGCAAACCTTCAAGAGACAGATAATTCCCACTGTAGTCAGACTATTCGAGAACATAGGAAAAACTGGGAGTTACCCTCATCGATTTATGACAGCAGTATAATCTTGGTACCAAGATGGGACAAAGATGGTTAGAAATGTACCCCAATCTCCCTTACTGAGCAAGAACCGCACAGGAAAACCTTTCTCCACTATACACAGAGATGCAAAACAAAACGGAAAACCTAACTGAACTAAGGCACTTTAAATACCTAGCACCCGATCAGTAATTGGTTCTGATTAGTAAGATGTCATGTCTTATACGATTATTATAAGACCAATTTAGTTTCCATCTTTCTAGCACTTTCAGCTTCTTCAAAGTGTTTTAACAAAGGAACCTACTGAAATATGAAATTAAGTCAACAACCTTGGGAAAAGAATTGTCTTACAAGTCTTGAAAGAAAATTCAAATGATACAAAATAAACAACACCAACAAAAGTGAAACTTACAGGCCACACCACACACACACACACACACACACACACACACACACACACACACACCCTAAAGCTTATTAATTAAATTGAAACTGAGACTCTCTGGAGTAAGGGATGATGGGGAAAAGCATGAGTGAGTCAATAACTGCTTTTTTTCAAACTTTTTCACAATAATGAATGAAAAGATTCCTCTCCAATTTTACTGTTAACAAATGAAGAAAAAGAATTAAGTATACTCTTTAAAAATAAAAGGTGACCAGCAGAAGAACTTTAAAAATGACTATAGATATCATGGAAATAGCAGGAAGGGAGGGGAAAATGAGGCTGAAAAAAAAAAATCTAGATCAGTGATTCCCAACTTTGGTTGCTCATTAGAATACCTGGGGAAGAGTTTTTAAATCCTGATGCCTACTCCACATGCCAGGGCAAATAAATCCAAATCTCGGATGGGAGCCAGACATCAGAATTCGTTAAACCTCTGGATGTGATTCCAGCGTGTGGTTAAAGCTGGGAAGCACCAATTTACAGCAAAACATACAAGAGGGAAAGGAAAGAAAATAGCAAGGAGGTATAAAGAACAAAAACATCACCCAAAAATGAAGACAGAATTAATCATAAACAAGTTATATCAGTAAGTGGAAATACGATCAAATAATATATTAAAAGAAAAAGACTCTCAGGCTGGGTTAAAAATAATCAAAGCCCAAGGACCTACTGTATAGCACAGGGAACTCTACTCAATATTCTGTAATACCTAAATGGGAAAAGAATTTGAAAAAGGATAGATACATGTATATGTATAACTGAATCACTTTGCTGTACACATGAAACTAACACATTGTAAATCAACTATACTACAATATAAAATAATTTTTTTAAAAAAATCAAAGCATAATCTTTATTTGCAAGCCATAATAAATTGCATGATAAGTTATTTAAAAGAGCACTGTATTCAAAGTCAGAAAACCTGAATTCTAGAATCAAAGATGTCATTTGAGGCTGTGTGAACTCAGGCAAGGCACTTCCTCTCAACAAGCTTCTGGATCCACAGCTGCAAATCGAGGACCTGGCACTCTCCAGGAGAGGTTCAAATGTGGTAAGAAATGGGCAAAAGTGTTATAAACTTCAGAATACCAAGGCCTTGCACCTCACAGTGTGGTCCACAGACCAGCCGCATTGGCATCTTCCAAGAGCTTGTAAGAAATGCAGAATCTCTGGACCCACCCCAAACCCACTGTATCAGAATTTGCATTGTAACAAGATCCCCCAGGTGATCTGCGTTCATCTTAATGTTTGGGAAGCACTGCTCACGATGGCTATCTGACCTTCCCAAGAGTTGGAAAGACAAGAGCTATTGCCCGTTCTTGCTGTCTCATTGCCTCTGTATGAGGCTCCCTCTAACTAAAATGGCCTCCCCCATCCTCGTCTAGCTATAGCTCCTCCTTGATCTTTGAGGCACAGCTTAGATAAGCTCCAGAAGCATCCACACATATACCTCCCTCTGGGTTACCTGCCCTCCCTGTGCTTCCCTCTATCAAAACCTTCACCTGCTGGGCTGTGTAACTGTTGGCTTATGTGTCATCTCCCAGAACTAAACTGTGAACTTATTTTTTTTTAAACAAACAACTTTGTATTGAAATATAGTTGATTTACTTTGTTGTGTTAGTTTCAGGTGTACAGCAAAGTGATTCAGTTTATATATACATATATATATTCATTTTGTATATATATGTATTCTTTTCAGATGCTTTTCTATTATAGGTTATTACAAGATACTGAATATAGTTCCTTGTGCTATACAGTAGGTCCTTGTTGTTTTTCTATTTTATATATAGTGGTGTGTATATGTTAATCCCAAACTCCTAATTTAACCTTCATCCCACCCTTTCCCCTTTGGTAACCATAAGTTTGTTTTCTATGTCTGTGAGTCTGTTTCTGTTTTGTAAATAAGTTCACTGGTATCATTATTTTTTAGATTCCACATATAAGCGGTATCACATGATACTTGTCTTTCTGTGTCTGACTTACTTCACTTAGTATGATAATCTCTAAATCCATCCATGTTGCTGCAAATGGCTTTATTTCATTCTTTTTATGGCTGAGTAATATTCCATTATATGTACACCACATCTTCTTTATCCATTTATCTGTCAATGGACATTTAGTTTGCTTCCATGTCTTGGCTACTGTAAATAATGCTGCTATGAACATCGAGGTGCACGTATCTTTTTGAATTATAGTTTTCTCCAGATATATGCCCGGTAGTGGGATTGCTGGGTCGTATGGCAGTTCTATTTTTAGTTTTTTAAACCTCCATACTGTTCTCCATAGTGGCTGTATCGATTTACATCCCCACCAACAGTGCAGGACGGTTCTCTTTTCTCCACACCCTCTCCAGCATTTATGTGCAGACTTTTTAATGACAAATACTGTGAACTTTTGAAGGCATTTCAGGAAGTCCCTACAGTGTGCACAAGGTTCTTGCATAAGCAGAACTTAGCACAGAAACCACCCGTATTAGTTTCCTGCAGCTGCTGTTCCACGCTGCCTGGCTCTTAAATAACAACCTCTGCTTCACCTTCTCAAAGCACTTTTTACATCTGAAACTTCAGCCCCTTCCTGAGATCTTGAGCAACGTCACGCTGCCATCCCCCAAACCATACTGTTCTGACAAGGTCTCTCAGAGCTAAGGACCTTTAGAGTCAGGAACACCTTGGGAAGTTCCTGTGAATGAGAACCCGAGGACATTACACCTCCATGCTGTTCTCCACACACACCTGACGCCTCACACCATACAGACTCCACTGATGATTCCTTGCCAACCTAACAAGGGTTTGCTGAGAGCCCCAGGAACCAGCTGGCATGCCTGTTTAAGTGAGAGGCAGATACAAAAGAAGGTCAGACAGACTAGTATGGTACAGCCTTAGGCTCAAGGAAATCA